CTCCTTCTCTGTTGATGTATTGCTACCTCAGACTACCAATGGTACATATTTCCTTTTCTGTTGATGTATTGCTACCCCAGACTACCAATGGTACATACCTCCTTCTCTGTTGATGTATTGCTACCTCAGACTACCAATGGTACATATTTCCTTTTCTGTTGATGTATTGCTACCCCAGACTACCAATGGTACATACCTCCTTCTCTGTTGATGTATTGCTACCTCAGACTACCAATGGTACATATCTCCTTTTCTGTTGATGTATTGCTACCCTAGACTGCCAATGGTACATACCTCCTTCTCTGTTGATGTATTGCTACCTCAGACTACCAATGGTACATATTTCCTTTTCTGTTGATGTATTGCTACCCTAGACTACCAATGGTACATGTCTCCTTTTCTGTTGATGTATTGCTACCCTAGACTGCCAATGGTACATACCTCCTTCTCTGTTGATGTATTGCTACCCTAGACTACCAATGGTACATACCTCCTTCTCTGTTGATGTATTGCTACCCTAGACTACCAATGGTACATACCTCCTTCTCTGTTGATGTATTGCTACCCCAGACTACCAATGGTACATATTTCCTTTTCTGTTGATGTATTGCTACCCTAGACTATCAATGATACATACCTCCTTCTCTGTTGATGTATTGCTACCCTAGACTACCAATGATACATATCTCCTTTTCTGTTGATGTATTGCTACCCCAGACCACCAATGGTACATATCTCCCTCTCTGTTGATGTATTGCTACCCCAGACTTCCAATGGTACATACCACCTTCTATGTTGATGTATTGCTACCCCAGACTACCAATGGTACATACCTTCTTTTCTGTTGATGTATGGCTACCCCAGACTACCAATGGTACATATCTCCCTCTATGTTGATGTATTGCTACCCCAGACTACGAATGGTACATATCTCCCTCTCCGTTGATGTATGGCTACTCTAGACTACCAATGGTATATACCTCCTTCTCTATTGATGTATTGCTACCCCAGACTACCAATGCTACATATCTCCTTTTCTGTTGATGTATTGCTACCCCAGACTACCAATGATACATATCTCCTTCTCTGTTGATGTATTGCTACCCCAGACTACCAATGATACATATCTCCTCTTCTGTTGATGTATTGCTACCCCAGACTACCAATGGTACATATCTCCTTCTCTGTTGATGTATTGCTACCCCGGACTACCAATGGTACATACCACCTTCTATGTTGATGTATTGCTACCCCAGACTACCAATGGTACATACCTTCTTTTCTGTTGATGTATGGCTACCCCAGACTACCAAGGGTACATATCTCCCTCTATGTTGATGTTTTGCTACCCCAGACTACCAATGGTACATATCTCCCTCTCCGTTGATGTATGGCTACTCTAGACTACCAATGATACATATCTCCTTCTCTGTGGATGTATTTCTACCCCAGACTACCAATGGTACATATCTCCTTTTCTGTTGATGTATGGCTACCCCAGACTACCAATGGTACATATCTCCCTCTCTGTTGATGTATTGCTACCCTAGACTACCAATGATACATATCTCACTCGCTGTTTTATGTATTGCTACCCCAGACTACCAATGGTACATACCTCCTTCTCTGTTGATGTATGGCTACCCTAGACTACCAATGGTACATATCTCCCTCTCTGTTGATGTATTGCTACCCTAGACTACCAGTGATACATATCTCCCTCGCTGTTTTATGTATTGCTACCCCAGACTACCAATGGTACATACCACCTTCTCTGTTGATGTATGGCTACCCTTGACTACCAATGGTACATATCTCCTCTTCTGTTGATGTATGGCTAGCCTAGACTACCAATGGTTCATACCTTCTTTTCTGTTGATGTATGGCTACCCTAGACTTCCAATGGTACATATCTCCTCTTCTGTTGATGTATGGCTACCCTAGACTACCAATGGTACATATCTCCTCTTCTGTTGATGTATTGCTACCCTAGACTACCAATGGTACATATCTCCTCTGCGTTTGATGTATGGCTACCCTAGACTACCAATGGTACATATCTCCTCTTCTGTTGATGTATGGCTACCCTAGACTACCAATGGTACCTATCTCCTCTTCCGTTGATGTATGGCTACCCTAGACTACCAATGGTACATATCTCCTCTTCTGTTGATGTATGGCTACCCTAGACTACCAATGGTACCTATCTCCTCTTCCGTTGATGTATGGCTACCCCAGACTACCAATGGTACATATCTCCCTCTCTGTTGGTATATGGCTACCCTAGACTTCCAATGGTACATACCTCCTTCTCTGTTGATGTATTGCTACCTCAGACTACCAATGGTACATATTTCCTTTTCTGTTGATGTATTGCTACCCCAGACTACCAATGGTACATATCTCCTTTTCTGTTGATGTATTGCTACCCTAGACTGCCAATGGTACATACCTCCTTCTCTGTTGATGTATTGCTACCCCAGACTACCAATGGTACATATCTCCTTTTCTGTTGATGTATTGCTACCTCAGACTACCAATGGTACATGTCTCCTTTTCTGTTGATGTATTGCTACCCTAGACTGCCAATGGTACATACCTCCTTCTCTGTTGATGTATTGCTACCCTAGACTACCAATGGTACATACTTCCTTCTCTGTTGATGTATTGCTACCCCAGACTACCAATGGTACATATTTCCTTTTCTGTTGATGTATTGCTACCCTAGACTATCAATGATACATACCTCCTTCTCTGTTGATGTATTGCTACCCCAGACTACCAATGGTACATATCTCCCTCTCTGTTGATGTATGGCTACCCTAGACTACCAATGGTACATACTTCCTTCTCTGTTGATGTATTGCTACCCTAGACTACCAATGGTACATACTTCCTTCTCTGTTGATGTATTGCTACCCCAGACTACCAATGATACATATCTCCTTCTCTGATGATGTATTGCTACCCCAGACTACCAGTGGTACATACCTCCTTCTCTGTTGATGTATTGCTACCCTAGACTACCAATGGTACATATCTCCTCTTCTGTTGATGTATGGCTACCCTAGACTACCAATGGTACATATCTCCTCTTCTGTTGATGTATTGCTACCCCAGACTACCAATGGCACATACCCCCTTTTCTGTTGATGTATTGCTACCCCAGACTACCAATGGTACATATCTCCCTCTCTGTTGATGTATTGCTACCCTAGACTACCAATGGTACATATCTCCTCTTCTGTTGATGTATTGCTACCCTAGACTACCAATGGTACATATCTCCCTCTCTGTTGATGTATGGCTACCCCAGACAACCAATGGTACATATCTCCCTCTCTGTTGATGTATGGCTACCCCAGACTACCAATGGTACATATCTCCTCTTCTGTTGATGTATTGCTACCCTAGACTACCAATGGTACATATCTCCCTCTCTGTTGATGTATGGCTACCCCAGACAACCAATGATACATACTTCCCTCTCTGTTGATGTATGGCTACCCTAGACTACCAATGGTACATATCTCCTTCTCTGTTGATGTATGGCTACCCTAGACTACCAATGGTACATATCTCCTTCTCTGTTGATGTATGGCTACCCCAGACTACCAATGGTACATATCTCCTTCTCTGTTGATGTATTGCTACCCCAGACAACCAATGATACATATCTCCTTCTCTGTTGATGTATTGCTACCCTAGACTGCCAATGGTACATACCTCCTTCTCTGTTGATGTATTGCTACCCTAGACTACCAATGGTACATATCTCCTTTTCTGTTGATGTATTGCTACCCTAGACTGCCAATGGTACATACCTCCTTCTCTGTTGATGTATTGCTACCTCAGACTACCAATGGTACATATTTCCTTTTCTGTTGATGTATTGCTACCCTAGACTACCAATGGTACATATCTCCTTTTCTGTTGATGTATTGCTACCCTAGACTGCCAATGGTACATACCTCCTTCTCTGTTGATGTATTGCTACCTCAGACTACCAATGGTACATATTTCCTTTTCTGTTGATGTATTGCTACCCCAGACTACAAATGGTACATATCTCCTTTTACGTTGATGTATTGCTACCCTAGACTGCCAATGGTACATACCTCCTTCTCTGTTGATGTATTGCTACCTCAGACTACCAATGGTACATATTTCCTTTTCTGTTGATGTATTGCTACCCCAGACTACCAATGGTACATACCTCCTTCTCTGTTGATGTATTGCTACCTCAGACTACCAATGGTACATATTTCCTTTTCTGTTGATGTATTGCTACCCCAGACTACCAATGGTACATACCTCCTTCTCTGTTGATGTATTGCTACCTCAGACTACCAATGGTACATATCTCCTTTTCTGTTGATGTATTGCTACCCTAGACTGCCAATGGTACATACCTCCTTCTCTGTTGATGTATTGCTACCTCAGACTACCAATGGTACATATTTCCTTTTCTGTTGATGTATTGCTACCCTAGACTACCAATGGTACATGTCTCCTTTTCTGTTGATGTATTGCTACCCTAGACTGCCAATGGTACATACCTCCTTCTCTGTTGATGTATTGCTACCCTAGACTACCAATGGTACATACCTCCTTCTCTGTTGATGTATTGCTACCCTAGACTACCAATGGTACATACCTCCTTCTCTGTTGATGTATTGCTACCCCAGACTACCAATGGTACATATTTCCTTTTCTGTTGATGTATTGCTACCCTAGACTATCAATGATACATACCTCCTTCTCTGTTGATGTATTGCTACCCTAGACTATCAATGATACATATCTCCTTCTCTGTTGATGTATTGCTACCCCAGACTACCAATGGTACATATTTCCTTTTCTGTTGATGTATTGCTACCCTAGACTACCAATGGTATATATCTCCCTCTCTGTTGATGCATTGCTACTCCAGACTACCAATGGTACATATCTCCTTCTCTGTTGATGAATTGCTACCCTAGATTACCAATGGTACATACCTTCTTTTCTCCTGTTGGATCCTCCTCTTCATTTCGTTTGTCCATTTCATCACCACCTTCACAAATATTCCGACTCTTGCACAAGTCATACACGTGAGCAAATCGCTTGCGAGGATGGCCTTTGGATTTGTTGAGAATGTCTTTTATTTTGGGACCAGTCTGTCAAAGTAAAATACACAAAGGTTTAAATAACTTGTTTCATCAGTTGATTACCATGTTCACAATTTCATACAACTCATAATGCTTTGCATTGTTCAAAATCAAGAGAGGACCTTGATTGTGGGTTCGAATACCGGTTCGCCCCAATTATGTTTCTAGGTTTGTCAGCACCATACCTGTGCTCGTGAGTTTCACCGAAGTGGTAAACGTCTGAGATCTGCATCACTTCGGGCTTTCCTCCCACATTAAGCTGACACGCCGTGATATAACTGGAATAATGTTAAAAGCGGTGTTAAACCCAACTCACTCACTCACTCACTCACTCACTCACTCACTCAAAATTATTAGCATTACATTTGTACTACTTTGGACAAGAACCACTACTCTTTTAACCCTAAACACTACCTCAAGCTTAAAATCCATGAATAGTGTGTGAGATAGGATAAGTACATAAATAACCAATTTATTGTAAAATTTATATTTTTTAAAAATAATCCTATCTCACACTGTGCATTGTACCTGACGGTTGGACAGTGAGGCGCAAATACCCTAGCCTGTAAGGACTACAACTGGGGGATGTGCACGAGGAAGCTGGTGGGAAACAGAACTTGTGAGTGAGTATAATACACTGTAACGGAGCCCCTTTACGTCAGTCAGACATACCAGCATGAAAACGGGTATAACCTGTGTTATGTGCTTTCACGTAAGACATCGTTTCAAGAATGAAAGCGTAGGTTTGAAGAAGGGTACCTTTCCACCATGACTTATAACCATTTTGGAAGGGGTCTCCAGGCAATTAGTTCTACAAGACAGACCTCCACATACACTCCAAGACGTAAGATCTGCTTGGCATCTCTTTTTACGCTTCTTCAAAGCTATCAATTACGCCCATGAGATTGAAGACAAGAAGAGGCAACGATCCAAGACATCCAAGTGAGGATCTTCAAACAATACTCATCTTCCAGAGGCAAGGGAGTAAACTGACAGTTTCCACCCTTGCCGAACTAGGCTCCAATTATGGAGTTATATTTTGGCTGGACTAATGAGTCTATGCATAGTCCAATCAAAATCGCATAACGACATCGACGTCTGGTTCGTTAACAACATGGATTTCAAAGTGCAGATTTTGGTCGACTGCAGGATTAGCAAAAGATGTGTACCGTCAACCGGACGTCGACAGATATTTTCCAGATCTTTTCATGTTTTTTATCAAGGTGCTCAAGTGATTTGATGCACTTCTCGAAGTAAGATCCGTTTTATTACAATATATATCTTGATCATAGATCAGATCGTCTTGACTGGGCGCCGCCATTTTGTTTGAAGCAAATGCATGGGATATAAGAGGTGGAATCTGATTGATAAATAGGAGGGACATAGAGGGGACATAACTTGTAATAGCCACTGGTGGCGTATGATCGAGCCCAGAAATTCCAGCCTAGTTGGCAAGGGTGGAGACTGGACTTTTAGAGTCAATTAATTCCGTTGCTTGGGAAGATGAACAATGCTGAGATACAGGATATGGAGTACTGTGCTGCTGAAGAGGGTACACGTTAATGTTAACTGCACTGATGAGGTGCCGACTTGGAGGAGCCCATCTTGTTGATGTTTCAGAAGAAAGAGAGATTGTCTGACTGGATCCAGGATGGGTAAGACGAACCTTGGGAGCTGAGCATTGTACCGGGTCGAGGTCGAAGCTTGCATAAAGGTGGCAGTCCCACTGAAAAATGGTGAAATGGAGACAACATTCCGTTGGGGATGATTGGTCTGGTCGGGACAGGGAATCCGCTATGACATTGTGGATCCTGGGAATGTACCTTGCATGGACTTGAACACTCAGGGAGTCGACTACTCGGAAGAACTCAACAGAAGGAGGAGCTCATCTTGTTGATATTCCAGACAACAGAGAGATTGTCATAAGTTGCAACGCACAGAGGATCTCGGCCAAATGAGATATTGCCAGAATGGCTGCCAAGATGTTGATGTGGACCCTCTTGTCATTAAAGGACCAGCGCCCTGCCCCATGATGACCGACGTTTCAATGGGTTGGGCTGAACGCCTGCAATGAGACTCTGATGCCAACATTTGACCTCAGTAGCTACCACTGGAGATGTTGATAAGAGGTAAAAAACTCTTCACAAATAAATATGGATGGACAGGTTGGCTTACAGATGGCTCTTGAAACCATTTTGAAATATTCTTTAATGTTGCGCTTGAGTTTCTTTCATTATGTGAAATATTGTAGTCGCCACGATAATTTTATTAATGGGCATATTGGGTGAGGTGAGGTGAAATTGGGTTTAACGTCGCGTCCAAGATTATTGCCCTATATAGCGACGTGCATGTACGTGTGTGGCTGCTTGTACTTGTCCGGACTGATGCCGATTTTTAGTGCTAGCTCACTGAGATACCATGCCGCAGTATAACATGAATACCCCACTCAGACACAGTATTCTGACTCCGAGCTGACCAGTCCTTGTTTTATCCCCTTAATGCCGAGCGCCAGACAGGGTAACAACAAGTACCATCTTTTAACGTCTTTTGGTATGACGCGGCCAGGGATCGAACCCCGGACCTTCCACTCTTCAGGCGGATGCTCTACTGCTAGACCACAGAGGCGGTTAATGGGCATATTGGGAGGCAACTGGCAACCAAGCAATAAATACAGGTTGCCAAATGGTAATTTAATTGACAACATTGGATGCAACATGGAGTGCTGTAAATTCATATTTTAGCTGTCTGCAACTTTAACCACAAGACCAATGTCCAAGTTTGCTAAAATTCTGTTGGGCCAGTAACAGTCTAAAATAACATAAAAATCTGCAGAAAATGATCACTGTTTCAGTTACCAATTTTCAAAAGTATTAATTACCATAAGTTAAGTTTTTCTTGACCTGATAAATTTAGTCAGGCTGGCATTACCTAAGCCCCTATCACAAAACGGATCGCTATATCTGACTGAACAAAACTATCAGAACAAGCCAAACTTAACCAATCTTTCGAGTTAACACAAACTTGTTCATAGCAACAATCTTGCTTGCTAAACCACATGGAACATAAAAAGTTTTACACTGAAATAGTTACAAATTAAATACAGCTTTAAGCATAGGAACTGTCATAGCGACTGATTTACGACACCCATTGTCTGATGAACATTTAATTGCAAAGGCTCATTACCCTGGAGCCATGACATCTATATGCCTTGAAACACTTAATTGCTGTTATTTATAAGATGCTAATCCTAATTGTTAATCCCCATTTATGTGTACATCGACCGTCTGCCATCCTGCTGATGAAATACTGTTTACATTTATATTTATTACTTACAAAATGTCAGGTGACCTTGGCTATATAAGCCTTGGTCCAGAGGAAGGAGAAAAGAAAGGTCTTACCCTAAGCCTAGCTAGGGTTAGGCTGGGTGCTCCGGGGCGCCTAGACAACAACCACTACCACTATGTGCTGACCTGGCACATAGTGTCTTTTGTTTGTATATATCTACATGTATAAAGTAAAACTGTATGTACCGCAAGCCATCGACTCCAAGTTGTCACTTCCTACTGAGAACCAAACGTCGGCCCCTTGCATATATGAGTATGCAAATTATTCATTAATCAACGTCAGACCGACATGCGTTGTTAGAACTCAAGCAATCATGTTTCGATAGATGAGGTAGGAATGTTGTGATACCATTACATATCACAATAGCTGGCAGATACTTGATTTGATCAAGTAAACCAGTGGCTGACAGCATGAACACCCAAAACCTGCCATCATGTGAGCAAGGTCACACATTGTCACCACCTTGTTAGTTGCCTCGTTAGACAAGCAAGACACAAGAGCCAACTTCCTCGGAATATATAAAACAACACTTACGGAATCCACCAGCATCTTGGAGCAGAAGAAACAGACACATCGCAACACTTTGATTGTTTTCACAAGAAATCCAACATGAAATACTGGTTTGGCAAGCTCAATGTGCCCAAAGTGTCCGGGACATTCTGCCATGTTGCCCCTACAGGTCTGACATCGGGACTTTCTGTCCATAACTCCTTGTCGTGGGTCCATCAGGCCGCCGATCTTGGGTCGACCACCGTCCTGGGTTTCGGAGTATCTGATGCCCCCCTCGGTCACAGACATTCGCTTCTGCAAAACAACAACTCAACTTACTCAACTCGCTATGGAGGACTAAACCTCTAAAAAAACAAATAGAACATCGATCCTAAAAAAGTCCTCAAAGGGGTCAATAGGAATACAACCACTTGAAATGGATAACAGACGATCCCCACAGAGATTCGTACTCAACGAAAATGGTTAACCCGTACCTAAAATTCTCGTCAGATTCGTGCTTGTTTTGGAGTAAAGTCGGAGTATTCATACCTTTTTGGGCTGAACCATACCCAAATTTTGAGATCCGTACCCAAATTTGGAAATCCCATACCCAAATTTGGAGATCCCATACCAAAATTTGGAGATCCCATACCAAAATTTGGAGAACCTGTCCCCAAATTTGGAGCTCAAGATTTTACATTTTCAACCAAAACTGAGGAGGCGTGTTTTATCCGACTTTCGAACTGTCTAAATGCAAGAAATACCAGAAACAATAAGAAAACATTGACATACCTTATAGTGAAACAATACAGTGTATAGTGGTATAAAAGGAATTCGCTCAAAGCAGTGAGAGAAAAAACATGTGCAGCATGGACTAGCTGGAGTCATGCCATGATAAACTGAACAACTACTCATCACCAGCTACAGTAGTTCAGTTGGAAAACACAAAACATAACACAATATGTGAGGTTGCAGGTTCGATTCATGTCGTGGAATTTACATGTTAAAATTTTGTGTGTGACTTTTAACCAATCATCAAACACAATTGTGTTCACAACAAGGGGCAAGTTTATAAAAAGTTCATTGTAAAACCTAGCCATTACAATTGAAATGTATTCATCAGGTCCTGGGCATTGTTGATATTGCCTTCCTTGAAAGTTTACCAACATTTTGTGGAACCTTCTGTTTCTGTGGTGTGACATCATCAGAGGTTCATAATGGAGGTATCATCACCAGTATCTGCCATAACCATGTCATACACTTTGTACAAAAATGCAGTCTGAATAAGTCTTTGAAAAGTAGGAGGCCTATTACACATCCTGAAGGGCATCGTACAGTCCCTTTGCTGTGATAAATGCAGTCTTGCATTGGTCAGCCTTGTCCATGGCAATCTGATGTAGTGAGTGAGTTGGGTTTAACACTGCTTTTAACAGTATTCCAGTTAATCACAGCGTGTCAGCATAATGTGGGAAGAAAGCCCAAAGTGATGCAGGTCTCAGACATTTACCACTTAGGTGAAACCTACGAGCACGGGTATGGTGCTGACAAACCTATAACAATCTGATGCAACCCTTTAGCTATATCCACTGTGCTAAACCACTTTACATCAGATAGATAATGGAAAGATTCCTTGATCTGAGGAAGAGGGAAAACATCTTGAACATTTTCAAGTTCAAGTGACGATAGTCCGCACAAAATCTAAAAGTATTGTTCTTCTTTCTCACTAATACAATGGGTGAAGCATTATTGGCTGTGTCTCTCTTCTTTCTCACTTCTACAATGGGTGAAGCATTATTGGCTGTGTCTCTTTTCTATCTCACCAGTACAATGGGTGAAGCATTATTGGCTGTGTCTCTCTTCTTTCTCACTAATACAATGGGTGAAGCATTATTGGCTGTGTCTCTCTTCTTTCCCACTACTACAATGGGTGAAGCATTATTGGCTGTGTCTCTCTTCTATCTCACCAGTACAATGGCTGAAGCATTATTGCCTGTGTCTCTCTTCTATCTCACTAGTACAATGGGTGAAGCATAATTGGCTGTGTCTCTCTTCTATCTCACCAGTACAATGGGTGAAGCATTATTGGTTGTGTCTCTATTGTTTCTTATTAGTACAATGGGTGAAGCATTATTGGCTGTGTCTCTCTTCTTTCTCACTAGTACAATGGGTGAAGCATTATTGCTGTGTCTCTCTTCTTATTTATTAGTACAATGGGTGAAGCATTATTGGCTGTGTCTCTATTGTTTCTTATTAGTACAATGGGTGAAGCATTATTGCTGTGTCTCTCTTCTATCTCACCAGTAGAATGGGTGAAGCATAATTGCTGTGTCTCTCTTCTTTCTCACTAGTACATTTGAAGCATTATTGGCTGTGTCTCTCTTCTATCTCACCAGTAGAATGGGTGAAGCATTATTGCTGTGTCTCTCTTCTATCTCACCAGTAGAATGGGTGAAGCATAATTGCTGTGTCTCTCTTCTTTCTTATTAGTACAATGGGTGAAGCATTATTGGCTGTGTCTCTATTGTTTCTTATTAGTACAATGGGTGAAGCATTATTGGCTGTGTCTCTATTGTTTCTTATTAGTACAATGGGTGAAGCATAATTGCTGTGTCTCTCTTCTATCTCACCAGTACAATGGGTGAAGCATTATTGGCTGCTTTTCTCTTCTTTCTCACTAGTACAATGGGTGAAGCATTATTGGCTGTGTCTCTCTTCTATCTCACCAGTACAATGGGTGAAGCATTATTGGCTGTGTCTCTCTTCTTTCTCACTAGTACAATGGGTGAAGCATAATTGGCTGTGTCTCTCTTCTTTCTCACTAGTACAATGGGTGAAGCATAATTGGCTGTGTCTCTCTTCTTTCTCACTAGTACAATGGGTGAAGCATTATTGGCTGTGTCTCTCTTCTTTCTCACTAGTACAATGGGTGAAGCATAATTGGCTGTGTCTCTCTTCTTTCTCACTAGTACAATGGCTGAAGCATTATTGGCTGCATCTCTCTTCTTTCTCACTAGTACAATGGGTGAAGCATTATTGGCTGTGTCTCTCTTCTATCTCACTACTACAATGGGTGAAGCATTATTGGCTGCATCTCTCTTCTTTCTCACTAGTACAATGGGTGAAGCATTATTGGCTGTGTCTCTCTTCTATCTCACTACTACAATGGGTGAAGCATTATTGGCTGCATCTCTCTTCTTTCTCACTTCTACAATGGGTGAAGCATTATTGGCTGTGTCTCTCTTCTTTCTCACTTCTACAATGGGTGAAGCATTATTGGCTGTGTCTCCCTTCTTTCTCACTAGTACAATGGGTGAAGCATAATTGCTGTGTCTCTCTTCTTTCTCACTAGTACAATGGCTGAAGCATTATTGGCTGCTTCTCTCTTCTTTCTCACCAGTACAATGGGTGAAGCATTATTGGCTGTGTCTCTCTTCTTTCTCACTCGTAGAATGGGTGAAGCATTATTGGCTGTGTCTCTCTTCTTTCTCACTAGTACAATGGGTGAAGCATAATTGCTGTGTCTCTCTTCTTTCTTATTAGTACAATTGGTGAAGCATTATTAGCTGTGCCTCTCTTCTATCTCACCAGTACAATGGGTGTAGCATTATTCGCTGTGTCTCTCTCCTTTCTTATTAGTACAATGGGTGAAGCATTATTGACTGTGTCTCTCTTCTATCTCACCAGTACAATGGGTGAAGCATTATTGACTGTGTCTCTATTCTATCTCACCAGTACAATGGGTGAAGCATTATTGGCTGTGTCTCTCTTCTTTCTTATTAGTACAATGGGTGAAGAATAATTGCTGGGTCTCTCTTCTATCTCACCAGTACAATGGGTGAAGCATTATTGGCTGTGTCTCTCTTCTTTCTCACCAGTACAATGGGTGTAGCATTATTCGCTGTGTCTCTCTTCTTTCTTATTAGTACAATGGGTGAAGCATTATTGACTGTGTCTCTATTCTATCTCACCAGTACAATGGGTGAAGCATTATTGGCTGTGTCTCTCTTCTTTCTTATTAGTACAATGGGTGTCTCATCTGTCCATGAGAACCTCTTGTTCTCGGCATACACTCAATGTCTCAGAGAATAAATGTCCAAGGCAGGAGGATAGTCTTTCGTGGTTAACGCATCAAGTTATCGCCAGTTAATCAATTCCTCTTCTGGTGATACTCTGTCAAAATCTAACTCAGCTTAGTAAGGCAGACATGCCACTTGCCCTATGAGGCCAGTCTTAACCCCTGGTTTCAAGCACAATCAGAATCACCCAGATTAGACCCTCTGATGGGGTAATAACAGCTCTCGGCAATGACAGTGTATTGATGGTCAAGGCTTAAGGGCATATACTCATGTATATGTCATGAAAGTGACACTTCATTTCATCCTTTTACTAGGGGCGGTTGGGTAGCCTAGTGGTTAAAGCTTTCGCTCGTCACGCCGAAGACCAGAGTTCGATTCCCGACATGGGTACAATGTGTGAAGCCCATTTCTGGTGTCCCCCGCTGTGATATTGCTGGAATATTGCTAAAAGCAGCGTAAAACCATACTCACTCACTCACATCCTTTTACTCATACACAAACAAACCTCCTACAGTACCTGTCACTGAGGAGGGCTTGACCAAAATACAAATGTCCGATTGGCTAAAGAAATTTCTGGATCCCTGGTAACAGCAAAAGCAACCCAAGCATTGTGTCGTCTAAAACAACAGGTCCCCCCAATTGCCCCTTCCCTTGACCGAAGCCCAGTTTGTTAGGTCGCTGATGCTAATTGGCTGCAGGTGATGCTAATTAAAGTGATGCGGGCAAGACAACTGAGAGTTGGAGTATTCTTACCCTCTAAAACACATCTACACCTAACCTTGTTCTGGTTGGTCTAAGTGAGTGAGTGAGTGAGTATGGTTTTACGCCACTTTTAGCAATATTCCAGCAATATCAAGGCGGGGGACACCAGAAATGGGCTTCACACATTGTACCCGGGTCTTCGGCGTGACGAATGAACGCTTTAACCACTAGGCTACCCGACCGCCCCTGGTCTAAGTTACCCAAACAATAGAACAACACCTATACATGTAAGATAGTATAAATATCGGTCCAGAAGTGTATACAAATTTCCCCAAAACTAATAAGCAAACCTAGAGTCCCCCAGGTTGCCCTTCCTTTTTGGACGTATCGTCCTCGGCAAAACCACCAATTGGCCTGGTGGGCCTGTGTGCGAAATACACATGTCGGAAAGCGCATGTTAAAAACACCAACTCTCTCTCTCAGTGTATGCAAGGGGGCACGGGTGGCCCAGTCGTCTAAGGCGCCACGATTCGCTGTGCAGAGTTGCGTCCCTTGGGCACGCCAGAAACCTATGATTGTGGGTTCGAATCCCGGTTCGCCCCAATTATGTTTCTAGGTTTGTCAGCACCATACCCGTGCTCGTAGGTTTCACCGAAGTGGTAAACGTCTGAGACCTGCATCACTTCGGGCTTTCCTCCTACATTAAGCTGACACGCCGCGATATAACTGGAATACTGTTAAAAGCGGGGTTAAACCAAACTCACACACACACACAGTGTATGCAATATAGAAATCTTATCAATACCAACACACCAGTTTTATCACTACTTAAACTTACAATAGATATGTGTACCCTACTCACACACGAGTCCCAAAGAGGGACAGGTAAGCCGAAATTGCTGAGGCAGAAGGCGACCTCTTAAACACTTAAATCAACAATAACAGTGTCTACAGACTTACTATCACCTTCCTCGGAACATGCTCTGAGAGGTCCAATATGCTCACCATTGTTGTATATATTTGACAGCTACCTATATATATGATGTTCATGTAAATATATCTGTGTTTATTAGCCAGAACATTGCAGGGGACACCAGAAATGGGCTTCACACATTGTACCCATTGCTGATTACATCTTTGAATTTATTCCTTCTTTGTTTATTTATCATTTCATCTAGTGAGTGAGTGAGTTTGATTTTACGCAGCTTTTAGCATTATTCCAGCAATATCACGGCAGGGGACACCAGAAATGGGCTTCACACATTGTACCCATCTTGGGGATCGAACCCGGGTCTTCGGCGTGACGAGCGAACAGTTAACCACTAGGCTACCCAACCGACCCTGGATTGTCTGGTCCAGACTCGATTATTTACAGACTGCCGTCATATAGCTGGAATATTGCTGAGTGCGGCGTAAAACAACAAACCAACAAACCAACCTTTAGCATACTTCCATGTCAGAATTATCAGATCTGATTAGTTCAGGTGACCTTGATAAAATATGATGGATCCCACCTTGGAGGGAAATAAACTTCTAAGCAGGTGAATAATCCCTTAGAGCCCCCATGAGCAGACCCGTGAAGACCCGGGGTAGAATAGGTCTTCAGCAACCCATGCTTGCCGTAAAAGGCAACTATGCTTGTGGTCAGGCTCGCTGACTTGGTTGATGCACGTGATCGTATCCCAATTGCGTGGATCAATGCTCATGATATTAATCACTGGATTGTCTGGTCCAGACTCGATTATTTACAGACCGCTGTAATATAGCTGGAATACTGCTGAGTGCGGCCAACAAACCAACCCACCAACCCCATGAGCAAGTCAGGCTCAATCGTTTTCTATCGATTTTAAATTTGTTTTAATTATTTTACAATGTCATATAAAAACATGTGGGTAAGATAAATCTGTTGTAGAAGGATCACTTGGGGGGTTTCATGCCTCCCTCTTTAGGTATTGTACCGAGAGACGGAAATACAAATAATAATGCAACTGTTGTAATACACAACTTCATTGGTGTTATTTGACCACATAACAATGACAGAAACAAACCAAATCTCTAAGGTTCAGCAAGATACGGGGCGGTCGGGTAGCCTAGTGGTTAAAGCGTTTGCTCATTTACGCCGCTTTTAGAAATATTCCAGCAATATCACGGCGGGGGACACCAGAAATGGGCTTCACACATTGTACCCATTGTCAGGAATCAAACCTGGGTCTTCGTCTGAAAAGCAAACGCTTTAACCACAAGGCTACCCGACCGCCCCCAAATCGAAGAGAACATGGTAACTGCACATACACATAAAGGTAAACAATGTGATCACTTAATTATTTCTGACTGCGTCCATGGCAAAGTATTAGCCAATCAGATTTACTCATTAGCCAGGCTTTACTTTATTTTTCAGTACTTGTAGGCCACGGGCCTTTTTGTACAGACGAAATACAATTAAGGTGCAAACAGTATAAGATATAATACACATTTCTTTGTTTTTTAACAAAAGCAGTTTTATCATAATTGCACATTATACATGTTGGAGTATTTGTGTTCTTACAGCATTGGCATAAAACAAGTACTTTGCTGTATTCATATTGATAATAGGGTCTTGTGATGACAGTAGTGTATTAAACTTCAGAATATTTGGAAAGATGTAAAATTTCGATTTTATGCAGCCTAGCTAATCAAGCTGCCAAGTGATTTCGATACTCAATCCTGAATGTTTAAATTAAAAAAAAACGCGCTCAGTAAAGAGCCCAAATGTAACATGATTCCAATCATAAAACACTGATTCTATTGTGGCATTATATCTTGTCTTGTCATCTTCAGGATGCTCGGTTACTACAAATACTTTGACAGGCAATGCAGTCGAAAGTGGATTGGAAGTGATGTACAGGAAATGGACGGAGGGCAACTAATATCACATGATGACAGAAACCAGAAATACCCAAGTAAAGGAGTTCCCTTTTTATTGAGGTGGGGTTCTTGAGATTAAGTGGGGGTAGGGAGATATGACAGCAAAGGAGGGGGTCGTCAATATTTATCACAGCCATGAGGGAGGGAGCATGAAAAATGACACAGTTCTGTAACGTGATACAAACCTGTGACCATGGCAGCAATGGCCCCATGAATATCATTTTTTATACATATTTATATTTTAAAATGCCAGTATCACAAACAAACCTAGTGACCATTGCTACAATAGCCCCATGAATATAATTTTTATACATATTTATATTTTAAAATGCCAGCATCACATACTGCCTTTCATATTTAAGCTGACTGTGCAATTTGTCTCTGTATTTGAGGGACATGTTCACTGAATCCGCTGGGGATGCCGATTATTTAACACAAACTAGCCTCTGTGTATAGGGGGCGGTCGGGTAGCCTAATGGTTAGAGCGTTCGATTGTCACGCCGAAGACCCGGGTTCGAATCCCGACATGGGTACAATGTGTGAAGCCAATTTCTGGTGTCCCCCGCCGTGATATTGCTGGAATATTGCTAAAAGCGGCGTAAAACCATACTCACTCACTCACTGTGTATAGAATAAGGCTATATAGTATAACAACATTCCATCACAATTTTCACCTGATTGTGCAATCGACTATTGATCTGTTGGATTAATTTAATCATTTCAATATTTGTTTTCTAATAATGAAACCCCCCCACAAAATTACTAATTAAAAAAGTGAAATGAAGAGGTAGCACTGATATGTTTTACAGACTGATATTAAAATCAGCAACAGATGATACAGTTCAAAGACCAGTGCCCCAACAGATCATTACCAGTCTCTAAATACACTTACTACTTGCACTTGTTCACAAGAAGTCTTCTTTGATTATCTGAGCCCTTTGGCCAGTGAAGCAAGGCGATCTGCTGTAGTGAGTGAGTGAGTTGTGTTTAATGCTGCTGTTAACAGTATTCCAGTTATATCGCGGCAGTCAGCTTAACGTGGGAGGAAAGCCCCAAGTGATGCAGGTTTTAGATGTTTACCACTTCGGTGAAACGCACGAGCACGGGTATGGTGCAGACAAACCTAGAAACATAATTGGAATGAACCAGGATTCGAACCCACAATCAGGTTTCTGGCGTGCCCAAGGGACGCAACTCTTGCAAGGAAATTGCAATATAAGACTTAACCATTGCGTTTGGAAATGTTCAGTTTTGTACTTGATGTATTGAACAGATCTAAACAGATCCTAATTAAAGTCTTAGACCAGCATTTAGAGTTTGTTTGTTGTTTAACGTCATACTCAGCAATATGACGGCGGTCTGTAAATAATAAAGTCTGGACAAGACAATCCAGTGATTAACATCATGAGCATTGATCCACACAGTTGGGATATGATGACACGCATCAATCAAAACAACGAGCCTGACCACCTGATCCTGTTAGTCGCCTCCAAAGGCAAGCATGGGTTGCTGAAGACCTATTCTATCCTGGATCTTCAAGGGTAGATTGAGCAAGAAGTAATAGTAATTGCTTGCAATTAAAGGCAACTATGCTTGTCGTAAGCGGCAACTAACGGGATCAGATGGTCAGGCTCGCTGCCTTGGTTGATGCATGTCATTGTATCCCAATTGCGTGGATCGATGCTCATGATGTCAATCACTGCATTGTCTGGTCCAGACTCGATTATTTACAGACCACCATCATATAGCTGGGACAATGCTGAGTGCGGCGTTAGACAACAAACAACAAACATAAGGCACAGTATAGGCCTAGCTAAATGTAGAGCTCTGAGACTTTCTAAGATTAGCTATGCCTAATCAATCTGTACCAAAAAGATATGAAACACAAACGTACAATCTCATCTGGTCCCAATATTCCGAACTGGACCTTCTTCACCAGCATAACTGGGGCATTCGAGTCTCCCACGTACGCCATTGTGAAATCATGTGACGCCACGGTGTTCCATGAAAACAATTGTCGTCAATGTTTCCAGGAAAAGCACAGAAGCCACGCCTTTCTTGCATACCGTTGCTGTGTCCCCCAAGCTTTGAGATAATGATCGACCGCTTAAAATGGTCGGAAGAACAAACTACGTTAGACAGAAACATAAATCTTCCTCTGTATATTGTTTCAAGGGGAAACGGAAGCCTTTTTATTCAGGGCCTCTGCTTGTTTGTCCAAAGTCTGGAGACAGCCGTCATGGCGTCCCGACAGTCTTCTCGGCGAGACGTCGGACGGTTGTCCATCTCAAGGCAAAACTCCGACACAAATTTCAGTTATTATCTTTACTATAGGCATATTTTCTGTTTCTGTCGTAGAGTATTTATTGTGGTCCAGGTGTGAACGCACCATTCTGTGTATGTAAAACCATCAATTTTGTATTTGTTAACTAGACTGGTCCCCTGCCCTGTTGTTTCGCCCCAGATAGCTGGCAGAATTGCGGTGAGGAGCGCAAGAGGTCTAGGCTAATGCAGGAAAACCAGTCATGTTTGTAAACACATTGCGAATCATTTCTATATTTTGACGCACCTGCGACCTTCACCTTCACTTCGGTTTAAATCGCGCCGACGGAAAATGACGACACTGAACGATTGCACAACGAAGCCCATGCTACACAAATGTTAAACCCGTAGCTCAGCAAAAGGTATAAATACGCAGAGGGCCGGACGGGGAAGCCATCGGTCCGACATTGGGCCACTCAGCCGATGGAAAGCAAGAACGGAAAGTCTTCGAATTTAAGGCTTCCGTTCCCCTAGACACAAGACAGGGGAACGTTTATGTGTCTGTATTCTTATCTAGTCTAATAGCTAGTCCTATCGACTGATCCATTCCTCGTAATTACGAGGATTTCTTCATATCGCCCGGAACGCATCGCCGCGCCATATTTTCACAATGGCGTTCGTGGGAGACTCGAATGCCCCAGTTATGCTGGTGAAGAAGGTCCAGTTCGGAATATTGGGACCAGATGAGATTGTACGTTTGTGTTTCCAATATTTTTGTACAGATTGATTATTGACTCATAAGAAATCTCAGCTTCGATAATCATGTGGAAAAAATGCCATTCAACACTATTTTCTTTTAAAAAGAGCACTTTGGATGTAGGCCTATTTAGATCTGTTTATGCAATAAATCGATTACAAAACCGCACCTTTCCAAATACAATGGTCATGTTATGGTTTCTTTTGTCATTTCCTTAGCAGTTGACTGCAGACTTGTACAGGCTGCATGTAGATGAAGTGCTCACATATATTTTCAAGTGGTCATGTACACCCTGCAACATTGTTTTCTTTGTATAAGTTAGGCCTGTTACATTGCTTGTGGGCCTCTAAAGCATGGGGTTTCAGATGTAACATCACATCAGCAACACTGTCGGCCAGTATAGCAAAGATACATTTCCTTAAATTAAAAGACTTAAACTCAACATTGTTGAAAGCTTCATAAAACCCCGTGTAACGTGAGGTGTCTGTGAATATAAATGCAAAAGTAAACATGCAGTTGCAGGTTTTTTTTAATTGTTAAAAACACAACTTCAGAATGTCAGGAATAGGTGAAATAATGGCTTGTATGATGAATTGATCTTGTATTGATACATGTCTAGCAGTAGAAAGTAATGTTTTTAGTCCACTAATCCTTATAATAACATGTTATATAGCAAAACTCTTAACATTATAATAAAAATGGCATATTTCTACTAGTCCTTATGATACCTCAATTATTGGGCAGGGTGGCAAGGACTACAGAACGAGTGCCAATTTCTAACGCTGATGTCACTACAATTAATAATACGTTATTATCAAAGATTTAGACACAACCATTTGTCTGAGAACCAAGGTGTATACTATTGAACATAAAATACTATTTTGAAAAACAGCTCATAAGCTAGTTTTGATATAGATAAGGACGTTTTGACAGAATGTTATAAATAATATATTAATGGCCTGCCTTTCACCCCTCCCTTGAAAGATGTAGACGTGGACATTCTGCCTGCTGTATAATATCCTGAGTGGATCATTATACCCAACCGGTTGCAGCGTTAGAAACTAACATTTTTAGTCAACTAGTCTTTATAATGATAACCTATAGCAAAACCCTTAAAAAGGGCAAATTTCTACTAGTCCTTATGATACCTTAACTATTGGGCAGTTTGGCAAGGACTACAGGACTAGTGCCAATTCCTAACGCTGGGTTGTAGTCTCTGAAAAAAATGTGATCCACTAGCTCGAACATGACTCAAAGCATCATTTTCAGTAGAGTTTGTTTTATCATGTGGACTATTTATCATAACAGTCTGGCTTTGGACTAGTGACTAGAGTTGCAGGCTGATGCTTACTCATGAAGCAGTACGATACAAAGTCATTAAAATGCATATCACAATACAAAGTGTCTCGGGATAAAATGAATAACACAAACTTCAGATAAGCTTAATGTTGGTCCATTGTCCATGTTTTTAGGTGGAAATATGACAACTGTCCAAACATTGAATAATGCTGCAATGCATTAACAGCGTTAAAAATTGGCACTCGTCCTGTAGTCCTTGCCAAAGTGCCCAATAGTTGAGGTATCATAAGGACTAGTTTAAATTTGTAATATTTAAGGGTTTTATCTATATGTTATCATTATAAGGACTAGTGGACTAAGAAATTTAGTTTCTCCCGCTGACTAACATTAACATTGTGCACAGCCTCATCCTTGCATCTTTTGCAACTAGCCTGAAGACAGTGAGTCTAGGAAAGACATAATAATGTAGTCAAAATTTGTAGACCACTTGAGTTTCTAACACTATGTAACATATGGTAGTTCAACTCTGGGCAACAACCGAACTGGTCCCAAGTATCCTACCTATACTACCTATATAGGGATTGGGTGGTTAGACTTTGGAATATTGTCTCATACCCAAATAGCGTGTGGTGTATTTTATGCTGTATTTTTTACACATAGGGTTAGAAATAAAAATCGCGAAACTTGTGCAAATATCATTTCTTGTGCACCAGTGTATTGTACCATCATCTGGAAGTCATTGTTGACGTCATTCGAATATTATTGTGACGTAAAGTTGGAATGAAGTCACACTAGAAATGACATCATAGCTGAAGATTGATGTCATGGGATAAATTATGGTTTTTTTAGGACAGCAGTTGTGATCAGTGCATTTTTCGAAAGGGGAGCTTGAAAGGATAAAGAAATAATGGGTAATAAAGAAATTATGACACAAGTGTGTCGTACTGATTTTGCGAAACTAAGAATTCATGTATTACTCTCGCTCGGTAAATACAAGAATTCTGACACTTGTTTTTGTAAAATATTGGGAGTAAACTATCCAGATTTTCACTAGTCTTGCACAAATGGACAAGTGTCTGTGTCTAACAGGGGCATGTTCCACAAAGCAATCTTGGCTCTAGGACTATTGTTACTTTTCATTAGTCTATTCACTTAGTTATCACAGTTTTTTAGCAAAGATTGCTTTATGGTATGGGGCCCACAATTCATGTTTGGCTCCTTCCTGTTGATCTCTTTGAAGACCTATTAACAATGTTTTAGCTTTATTAAAGGTTTAGTTCTCCATAGCTAAAGTGAGTTGTTGTTTTGCAGAAGCGAATGTCTGTGACCGAGGGGGGCATCAGATACTCCGAAACCCAGGAGGGTGGCCGACCCAAGATCGGCGGCCTGATGGACCCACGACAAGGAGTTATAGACAGAATGTCCCGATGTCAGACCTGTGCGGGCAACATGACAGAATGTCCCGGACACTTTGGGCACATTGAGCTTGCCAAACCAGTATTTCATGTTGGATTTCTTGTGAAAACAATCAAAGTGTTGCGATGTGTCTGTTTCTTCTGCTCCAAGATGCTGGTGGATTCCGTAAGTGTTTTGTTTTTTTTATTCTGAGGAAAATTGGCTCTTGTACCCCATGCTTGTCTAACAAGCCAACTGACAATGTCGAGGATTGGGTTGTTTAAAATGTGTGACCTTTACAAATCATATCTGACAATCTGTTTTGTGATAGGGTCCAAGGAAATGATAGCCTGTCACAGGTAAATGATACTATTGTAAATCAATACAAAACTAAAAATAGAATCTATCTAGTGTAACTAGGTAGGTGTACCACAGATATACCATGTATACTCAGGGGTAATTTGACTATTCATTGATCCATCTGCATTTTGCTGCAATTTATCTGGGACTCCCATGTAAGTGCCTTTGGCAGGCAAACTGGGAAAAACCTCATCATTTTTCTTACTATGTTCTTATTTTCTCAAATAAGTAGGTGTTTTAACATTTCATTCAATGCCAAAGTGTAAAAACAAATTCTAATGCCTTTTCGATCATCTTATCAGTTGTGTTATCAGTGAATTACAGGTCACCTCCACAATACCATAACATGGTTATCATAAGGCATTGGAAATGACTATAAAACTACAGGAATTGGAATTTTTTTAATTCCAGTGTGGCAATTTGTACTGACATTGGCTGCAGACTTTGGGTTGAAATATCAGCCTTTGACAGTGATTTGTTTCAATTATAAATTTACTGTCTCTGTTTCAATTATAAACTTACCGGTTCACTGGACCAACCATGTCAACAGCACTTAAAAATACCTGTACATTCAATATTTTGGACCAGTTTATATTACCGGTACCTCTTTTACCATGTTTACTGTTAATTACTGGTAAATGTAAACACTGCCCTGAGCAGGTCTAGATGCAGGGTTTTGCAGTGACTTACAATTGTGGGGATCAAGGGGACCCCAATAATTAACTTACGGGTCCTTGCAAGCAATATGAGGGTCCTGTAAAGTAATGAAATGGTGTAGTGTACTGTACGTTTTGATAATTAGCCTATGTGAATCAATGATCAGGTGGACAGTGGTCATGTTTGATGGATGAAAAAACAGTCACCCATACTGCTCTTGATTTGCTGTAGGTACAATGAATATTATTGTGCGTCCATTCTCTACATTTGTACTGGATGCACTTATGCGCATCATGTAAAACCCTGAGATAAATATCATGACCCTGATCTGTTAATCGTGACATCCCAAGTGATATCATAGATGTGGCTTGATTTGCAGACAGTGGCTTAAAACACTTATCCACCATTTCCACATTATTAAGGCATAGCATT